ACAAATTCCGCGACGTTCGAGTGGCCCGCTGATCAATAGACTGATATCTTTCCTAAAACTTCTCTCTGCGCAGGAGCGTGCGCTTTTTGACCTGTTATCTCGGCGGGGTCCCAGCGTCTTGGCCGGCCTCCGTCACTTCCGGCTCGAGTTCGAACAGGAAGCTTACGAGGACGGTGTATCTATTGCCGGAGAAATAGATGCTGAGGAACTGCTAAACTCGGGCGATAAGGGGTTCAGTTTCTTCGATGACGAGGCCAGAGGGCGCCCGCAGCCCGTTCGAGAGCTAGCTGCTTCTCCTCAGAGACGGGATCTGACGGAATTTCCCGTTTTCCAAAGGGAGCAGGATCTGGAGACTGAAAACCTGGACATAGACGTCTGGGTAGATGGAAAGTCCACTAGGGTCAAGGTATGGGTCGGCTCAGCCTCTAACGAAAGTAGCAACCCCATGCTTCGAGACTATCGAGAACTGGCGTTGCATTACAAAGTGCATGATCGTATCGGACCGGCCTCCCCTGCACAAATACGTGCGGGCGTCCCCTCTTCGGCACTCGTCTTCCATACAGCATGGTGTATGGCGATCATGCCCTGTCGGCATAGGTCTGACATCAAAGAGCCCACAAGGGTTGAGCTTGACGCGATGAAAGACGTGCTGTCTGAGCTAAAACAGTTTCGTCTCCAAGGCAGGGCAAAATACCTCAAGCTGCAGAGCCAGTCTGGCAACGGAACCTGCCCCCCTGGTCCACCGCATGGATTCTGGCTTGGGAAGCTCGAGGTTTCGACTCACCAGAGGACGCTACGGAGCAAAACCGCAGACTATTGGAGATGAGCCGTGCGTCTAAATTACTGTGCGAAGGAATTGTACGAGGAATATTCCGGGCAGCTCAAAATTTCTTTTATCAAATAGTCTCTCTAAGGGTAGGCTCGTGTGTTTGGGAACTGGCTTTGAAACTTTTGATACCCTCGTTTTGACGTTGGGTTAGAGGGGACCGATCATCGTCAACGGCGTGCTTGGCATTGAGTTTCATAATTATCTGATGGAGAAATACACGGCTAGTATAGGCCGATATACACAGAATGGGGAGACTCCGGACATCGACATTGGCCCAAGGATCGCCATAGCTCCAGCTCAGGTGGCAAATGTCATGTCTCTCGTTCTTCGCCGAAACTGCTAGTTCTTCAGCCTGCATAAACCGCCTCTTATTGATTTCGTTATGACGGATTCCTCTGAAGCTGCGCTTTGATGCAATACAGATTAATTCCCTCACGCGGTGGACATTGACAGTAAACTCAAAACTTGACCATCCTCTGACCACATTCCATACTAAGGAGATGATAGACATTCGCTTGCTAGCCGAGGTATGGATCCCAAGACACTGACTGGCAGGCTGACAGCTATGGCGAGTAACATCGCGTCGACGCGTCGTCCAGGATAGGCACTCTCTTCATAGCAAATGATGCCAAAGAGGGGTCCCTAACAAAGTGCCCTGCATGCCCTGCATTACGTCAATGCATACTAGAAGTCTAGACCCTCAGCTGACAAGAAAAAGTTCGCCTACCCATGGACCTTTTTCCCTACATAGAAGAACCCTTGCGCATGTACATCATGGACGGGGGGGAAATGCTCTGCGTTGTGGGTAAGAATGTCTTTGACGGGTTGGTGATAGAGTTTTGTGGCACATGGCACAGAGAGTTGATCTTGGCCTGAAATGTAGTGCAATACTTGGAAGGCGTTGAAAAAAAGAGGCCCGAGCTTAGCGAGAAAAGAATCTGACCGTTGGCTTAGAACCAAACTCTCCCCTTTTGGCTAAAAGCCACAGGCTACAGGCACAGGCACAGGATTGTTAGAGTTTGGAGGCTTTGAAGCTATTCACAATAGGGACCCAAGCAGGCGAAGGGGGCCCAATACGAGTTGTGCATTCTTGGCGCTAGCGCAGCGACCCGAGCCGTAAACGTTAGCTTCACGAGAGCCGTTTCCCGAATTGCTGGATGAACCACTGAAACAGGAATAAAGCCGACATTTGGGTTTAATTATCTTCCAAGCCTGGTCTCGTCTTGTATGTGTCTGTCTGTTTTCTCTTCATTTCTCCTCGAGACCAAAACAAAAGTGTCCCCATTCGTGCATACTGGCTCGTGCTGGTGGTGGTCTAGACCGTCCTGGACCTAGAAGCAGGCCAACTAACGTACATCACGGAGCAGTCTAGGCTTCAATGGGGCATTATTTTAATTCCTTTAGATAATCTTTCTGCAGCATAGAGAATAAGGGGGAATTTTCGAGCGACTGTCCCACACAGCCGGAACGCAGTGCGACTGGCGTTGCATTGCGCATCGGCATCGCCGCGGCATCTACGCTTTTATATTGGCATAGACAGGTGGCTTCTTGACTGCCAGGGATCAACCGTATTGGGGACCTATGGCAAAGCTCCGTTGCTCCCGAGGGGTTGGGAACGGACACTCCCGTTCCTTGCATGGCATGGCATGGCTGTCTAGTGAGCCGGATTCTCGGGTCTTTCGGGGTGCAATAGCCTTGGTCCTTTCTTCTTCTTCTGGGCAAAGGATGCGGCTGTCATCGAGATCCTCAGCAGTCCTTTAGCTATTGATCCTTGACATAGCATGGGAAGGGCTGTCAAGCTATTAATCTCTTGCATACTGCAGCTTCGGCGAACCATGTGGGAGGAATGAACTATTAGGAAGCAATGAGGATCAACATCGCGTGAGGTGAATGAATATCTTGGAAGTACGCCAAAAGTTTCTCCTTGGCAGATCGCTAAACCTTCACTGATACTTGGAAGAGGTGGCAAAATTCTTTTCCCGTCTTACACAATGCTTTGCAAACCTGTCAATGACCTGTCATTAATTAAGACCTGAACTAGATAAACACACGGACTGCAAAGAGGCCACCTCAGCTGTGTTATCACGCCACAAGCATCTTATTAATTCGTCATAATGGCCAGTGCCGCTTTAAACAAGAGGTCAAAGAGTCAGGTACCCCCGATTTCCTGGCTTGGTCCGGTCCGTGTGGGGCCGAGCTGTGGTCCGCCCGGGCCGCGGCTTTTACCGGAGAGGAAACTCGGGTGGCGCCCCAGGAGATGGGACAAGGCTGAGAGATTCAACGGCGATTGTATAGAACAACCCAACTACAATATGTTGGCAATTGAATTATATACGATAACCTCAAGACATATATTGGCGATGTGGTGAGGAAGTGAGGGCATTTGTGACATGTTCATAATAACCAGAACTCTGCATCGGTCGTTGCAAGGGAATATCAACACCAACTGGGCGCATTAGAAATATCTATCAGTTGACTGGCTGTTCAGTCTTGGCCCACTCTCTGGGGATATTTAGTAAGTCTAGCGATCTGATATCATGAGAAAGCCGTTTTTGTCTTAATCAGAATTGTCAAGTCCCGACAATTCTTTACAGCCGACTCAATGAACTTGAAGCGACGGTTGCCGGGAAATCCATGGCAGGTACGTAACATTGAATCATATCCGGCTCTAGGTAACTACTCATTGAAAGAGCAAGGAATCACTATAGATGGGAAATGATGAGAGTATCGTCTTCTCAGCTTCCTAGATATGAAGGGTGATCAAAACCAAGTCGATTCGAAACCAACTCTACTATCAAGATCTGCAGAAGCTCGATCGCGAGTTCAAAGACTATGATGATCTTTATCAAGGATGGCCATATTCTGGTGATGAGGTAGTAGTCATTTCTCGAACAAGCTTCTTAACTTCTCTGCTTTCCATAGTTCATGAGCATGAGTACCTGATACATACATACGACTTGCACCTTCAGGCAGCACAGCCGCCATGTCTGTATGAAATCTCCAGTACTTACAGTAAAGGCTTCTTACAACCTGACGAAGCTGCGTTGCGGCAAGGTGAATATATGGTTTCACTTTATTGCTACGTATGGCATCAATAGCTTACGGGGGGTGGCTCACTTGAAGGACAATCTCTTCGTGACACGGATTGCTGAAAAATGATATTAGAGAAACTCATGAATTGAATGAGAACCTTTGACATGATGGTAGGTGCCCTTACCCGTGTGCTCAATTCCAGATCGAGCACTTGAGCAAGTTCATCAATAGCCGGGAGGACGTGACTCTTGAAATCAAGGCCGACTTCCTTACTCTCTGTATACCATAAGCCTAATATGGAACCAATTTGCCCGCCATTCAAGTAGCCAAAGTCAGTATCCTGGTGTTTGGTGCTCGAGAGTATGGTCTATCATCCTCGTTTGTTGTGTTGGGCGACGCTGGTGTAAGAAGAGGAATACACCACGACAACCATATCTCTGATGCGGTAGTAAATAGAATGAATCATGATATTTCAGTTCACATGAAATTTTTACCCACCTGTCCAACACTCCCCAGTGTTTGTGGTCTTGCATAGCATAGTGTTCATCTGAGTCTCGGGAGTAGCGACCACCAACACTCAAAACTGCCTGATAATACTTGCGACACGTTTTCTAGCAAACTCATTTCTGGACTAACGCATATTTAATTGAATAGTTCGCCAGATACCACATTATCAGACTCGCCACGGAAATGTGCAGAGGACAGTAGTTGCTGCTAGCTCTCCTTGATAAGTGCCCTAAACTGACATATCTTCGCCAGATTGTCGACCACCGAGGCCTGCTTTGTATATACTACTCAATATTCGACCATAGACCTATTCAAAATATCTCACTGCGGACTTGGGTATCATATTTCGATGTCGCTGATCGACAAGTTCTGGTTGTTAATCCTCTACAACGCAACACAAGCTATCATACAGAAGCCACTTTCATCAAACTCAAGACACACGCAGACTTGCCAAGTGACACACAACATGTTAGCTCTTGAAACTCAGAAGAACATTTATCGGGCGAAGTACGGCGAATGAGAACGCTGTCGCGTTGCAGCACCTCTAACACAACTCTTACAAAACACTCATATCTCTGCCAGTAGTCTTGACATCTGTCAGATCTCGCAATGTACACCACGCCGATCTCAATCATCGTATGGGAAGTCTCATACTTGTACCGCCTCTCCCACGTCCTCGTCCACCACGTCCAACACCAACAAAGCCTCCTCCAGCGCTGACCTCCATCTTCCTAGCCAGATTATTCAGTTCCTTCAGTAGACAACAAGCCGCGACGACTCTGAAACTCTCCAGCTCACCGGTTCCGTGGTACACCAATGGCGCGAATTCTTTTCTGATACATGCGACTGCTACACAGGCCCAGCATAACTCAACGACGTCTTCTCTCCATCGCGAAGGAGTTGCGTCTGCATCGGTGGCTGTGCTAAGAGTTTCTGCACCATCGCCTACACCGCGATCGCGGATCTGTTTGACTATCCATGTCATGATACGGTCAACTTCTTCTTTCAGTTTAATAGATGAATCTCCCTGGCGGCGTGTTTGGGCACCGCGTTTGTTGAGGATGAAACCGCAAAATACTTCGACTTCTGTAAGGGGTGCACGTGGATTTTCGGAAAAGCGCCACATCTTATCGGTAATAGTCGACTCGTATCTGAGATCGTTAGCATGTTGAACCCGTGAGAGACATGCTGCAACTTACAGGCCTCGAATCTTCCACGCCTCGTCGGATCTACGCGTCCAATCGACGTCAAGCTTATACTTGTTTACCTCGCTTTCAACAACGGTTAATAACTGATCCCATACAGATGGCCCAGCTGTGTTGACGATACGATGGATATCTTCATCCCAGATCTTCTTTTCATCAACGTTTCGATATAGACGACCGAGGATTTTCTCAGAGGCATAATATTTTGCTTTATAACGAGCCATGCCGTCGTCAGCGTTGTCATCTTCATCTTCGTCGCGCAAATGAGCGATCTGTCCCTTTTCGTACGTCTTCAGAGGCGGTGCTGTTGCAAGGCTGCAAGATATGTCAGTAGGTCCTGTGAAGCACTGGTGGAGAATACATACAAATCAGGACGGAACGGAGGATTTTTGGGCAAAGCTTTTACATCGACTGGAATACCGGTCTTGGAGAAGTCGACCGCTGTAGAGTGCATGCCCGCCAGCGAAACGCAGTCAGGGTGCGTTGTTCCCTGTTCATGATAATCTGCCAAGACGACATGTCTTGTAGCAATCATGCCCAAGATATCAGTTCGCATAAAGTCAACAAAAAAGTCGGCAATGTCCTGAGACTTCACCGGGCGATCTAGTGGCTTCGGTTTAACTCTTGGGTAGTCTGCTGGCAAGAAGTAGTTATCGGGTAATGCTTCTGGGTCCCAGATGATGTTATAGAGATCACCGTCCAGATCTCCTCCACTCAGCATACTGGGTAAGTCACGTTTGCCCTTCTGGCTGAAGACGATGCAGTTCTGTAAACTTCGTAGAGGATGTCCCTGTGGAGGGGTCACTTGGTTGACGATCTGAATGTCTCCTGGGTGAAGAGCCGGTGAGCGTGTGACGATAATTTGACCGTCTTGCAGCGTGGAGTTGATGCGACGGCCTCTGTAAACGCCGTGCGTCTTGTCGTATGTGACAAAAACTTCATCAGCATCAAGGAATCCCGTCTCATCCATGACGCCGAAAAGGGTCACTCCTTGATCAACAGGAATGCGTGCCTTGTGCTTCAGCAATCTTAGTTCTCGCAAGACGACATGTTCAACCGCTGACTTGAGGAACTTATCCCGGCGGTAGTCAATACCCATCTTCTCTAACTGCTTCACCAGCTTAGGCAGGCCCATGTTCACACCGATGGCTTGGTAGTCCAAGAAATAGCTCGTATTGGTCGCATCAGCTGTGACATTGCGCAGTATGTCAAGTGCGTTATTCTGCAGTCTGAAGAACCAATCGTTAGGTGTCCCCATGTCTTCCAAGATCTTGATCATTTGGCGGTTGAGAACGAGTCGAAGAGGTTTGGAAGAAGCGTCGCAAATGCCGAGTTCTCTAAGATCGTCACTTGGAAACTTCATCATTGACTCTTGTCGAATACAGAATACCTTTCCTTTGAGTCGAGTGTCGAGAGAGAGCATTCCCTTGCAACCACCCCACCGGATTTGAAGACATGTCGGTGCTGCAGCTCGCGTTGAGAGATAAGACCAAATCTCCTCCAGCGCTTCTCTAGAAATCGTCCCGACACCATCACTGAATACACGTGTTCCATCTTCAGATTTGACATCTGGAATGAACCGATGGGCTATACCAGTCTCAAAAATTGGGATTGCATATGGTGTTTCTGAGAAAGCTTGGCCGATTCGTGCTGCACACTTTGCCGGAACTCGAATCTCGCTGAAGTCCCCGAGGGCTCGTAGAATAGCTTCAGGAGTCTGGCGTTGGAAATTAGAATCGGTAAAAGGCGCAGAGAACCAGGCGGAGTGAGATCGAAGAGATGAATGGGAGAAGCCTAGGAACTGAAACTTTCGACCGGCGATGGTGATTCCCTCATCCATGACACGCCGGAACCGTAGAAAGATTGGTTCGTTATCAACCTTTGGATGAAAGTTGAGGTCCTGGCCATCTTCTTCGCAGAAGATCACGCGCAAGAAGTAGTCATTGTTCTCGAGATACTTTCGCAACACCCTGTTCTTGCTGTCAGGCTCAGGACCAGAAAGCAGAACACGCGTGGGCGTTACCATAGCTTTGAATACATAAATCTGATGATCTGGAATCTTGGCTCCATAGATTCTGTCTCGACGGGGATTCTCCGCCCTGGCCTCATATTCTTCATCCATGATGTTGGTCATCAATGTGATAACATTCAACTCATCAGGATCTATGCCAGGGCAAGGGTAGGGTATCTTCTGAAAGAGAGTCTTCATGGCGTCTGTAGTGACGGGAGCCGCGACCTTTTTTTCTTTAGCATCCGTAATGACTTGATCGAGGATTTTCAACAGTTCTATGCCGCTCGCGGGGTTGATGTAGTTGTTCCAGACCAGAGCTTGGACTTGGAAGAGAAGAGCGAAGTGAACATTTTCTGATGCCAGAAGGCGCTTAGCCTTCTCCGTGAATTGCTGGAGGCCGAGGAAATGGTTGCTCTCGGGTTCCATGTATGTCCATAGAACGGATGGGAGATCGTGATAGGTGATGGCGAGAATATCACGGTGCTTGACAGATCGGAGGACTTCGTTCATGTCGACTATCGAAGTGAAGAAAATGCGATAGACGAGGCAAGATGCCGAATACTCGCGAACCAACCCCCAGTTGACCAACCCCTGTACCCGTTTCCACTCCTGATTCGGGTTGTCGGATTTGTGAGGCGTGTACATCTTTGGCGGTTCAGTCAAGACCAAGGTGATGGATGCGTCATTGCGACTAGCAATAAGATGCTGAATAGTGTCATTGTAAAAGTCCATACGGTTTACATCTTCGTCGTAGACAGTTAACCACTGCGGCATGAATTTGCCAATAACATTACTAGGCAGGGTCAGACTGTTGTGCTCAACGAATGTAATGACCTGTTGGGGACCACGAAACGTATTTCCACCACAACTGATGCCGATGATACTGAAGGCCTTAACTGGAGCTTGGCGATCCTTAGCGGTGGTATCAGCAGCAGCCTTTTGTTGCTTTTTATCGCGTTCATGCTTGAGATGTGCGATCGAATGCTTATCGAGTATGCGAGTACTCTGCTCAACAAACACAGCTGTCTTGAGAATGTGGAGGCGTGGGGTATCTTTTGGTCTGAAGTTGGTCTTGAAAGGATATCTCGGGTTCGTGTTCTCCTTCTGCGGTCCATCGTGACGCCGTTGTTTGCCGTGCCTTTCAAGAAATGAGTAGCCATCGCCAGGGTTGAGGAATTTGACCCATGCTTGAGGCCTTCGCTTGGGCTTTTCGCAATAAAAGTCCGTGATGTTTAATGCTTTCATGAACGGGATGAGTTCTTGCTTGAAGTTTTCTTCTGATAAGTCCTGAGGGACGTTTCGGCAGAAGACCTCCATCGTCGCTAGCGAGTGAGGCCGCCGGCCTTGAGTGATTCAACAACTTGACACACCAGTAAGAACCGAAAATCAAAAACAAAGGTGACTCGGATATATGTAAGATAGGTTGCGACTTCTGAAAGTCGTTAGTTTTGTTGGCAGGCCTTATGTGGCGGTTGACTCTCACATCGGCTTTTTAGCGCATCCCTATGGACATTGCAACGCTTCAAGAGGCGGGCAACCGAGTTGATCGGCGGCGGTATGTACGAGATCGAATCCTCAGAGTCGCTCGATGTGGATAGATGCAGATTGTGATATCCGATGAGAACAAGGGATTGGATGAGCGAGATGCTTCATGCGGGAGGCCGACTGCTGATATATCCTGGTACTATATACAGTGCCAAACAAAAGAGAGAAGAATCGATGGAATGAGGGTGAGGGTGAGAAAGAGAAATTTGAATACATCACAGCACAATCAATGGCTTCTCAATGAAAGGAAGTGTAAAGAATCAAAGCACTTCTCAGCACTGGCAAAGACAATGCAACCGCGAAACTGCAGGCAAAGGGCTATGGACAAGGTGCCCAACATGAGACGGCCCAACATGAGACGACACAACATTGCGCTGCCAGCTTATCTTTACAGTATATTCACACAATGGCGCGACTTGATGCTGGCTGCTCACGCTCCGCTAGGTCGCGATGGCTTCTCGGTGTGTTCCGGGTGTGTTCCGGGTGTGGACCCCGTATTCTCGGTGACCTTTCGGTGAGTGGCGGGGTAAACATTTATACAGTACCTGAGGTACATGCCACTACTTTCCCGATTCCATCTGCCGAGCCGAATCGTAAACTCCCGCTCCACCTTCCGTCATGTAAATTGTTCTTCCGGAAGGCCTGAGGGCGCTTTATAGCAACTGAATAACCTCTCATTGAGCTTCTCTTCTCAATTACAGCTATCAATTCGAAGCACGATCACAATGTCTCCTCCTGGTAACCTCTACGTCACGATGCAGCCCAAGCCTGGGCTGTCTCTAGATCAATTCCACGAGTGGTATAACAACGAGCACGGCCCGACCCGGCTTCGTCTTCCTCAGATCTTCTCCAACGGTCTTCGATATAAAGCGACGGATGGTCAAGAACCTACTTACCTCGCTGCTTACGACGTTACGTCCATGCCACATCTCGAAACCGAGACATATCTTACACTGCGCGCAAACCGATCTCCTCGAGAAGCCGAGACAATTGGCCAAGTTGACGTGAAGCGATATTTCTGGGACTTGGTCCATTCCAACGAGTCTGACAAGTTCGTACCCTTCGAGAAGTTGACCGACGAAGAGGCCGAGGGTCTGCAAACTACTGCGGTTACAATTGAGCTTGAGGACGTCGAGGGTGCTGAAGAGGAATATCAGAAGTGGCTGATTGAGGAGCATATTCCTATGTTGGCCAAGGTTCCTGGTTGGTTGCGCTCGCGCGCCTTCAAGACTTCGTATCTTGAGGGACAGGGCAAGACTACTTTCCTTGCGCTGCATGACTATGCTAAGGAGAATGGCCAGGGTGGAGAGGAGCACAAGGCCTCGATGGACACACCATGGCGCACCAAAGTCTTTGACAAGTTCGTCGCTTCAAAGGGCCGAAGAACATACTCTCTCTTCTATGTCTTTGGACCTGCTCCCCGAGAGCTGGAAGCGCTATCAAAGCTGCCTTCAACAGCTGCTTTCACCTCCCCCGACTCCAAGCAATCTACCACACCTGGCCCCAACGCCGCTATCAACTCCTTCATCACAACTTCAGATTCCTTGGTCATCCCTTACCGATTGGAGGGTAACCCAGACCCCAAGGCTCCTACAATTGCATTCACCAACTCGCTGTTGACTTCGCTGCATATGTGGGACCCCCTCGTGGAGATCCTCAAGCGAGAGCGCCCTGAGTTCCGAATTCTACGATATGATACCCGTGGCCGACATGCCGTGCCTCAGCCTCCGGTGGCTGCTACCGTGGATCGCTTAACCGACGATCTGCGGGAAGTTCTCGATGCCCTTCGCATCACTAAGCTTCATACCCTTATTGGTGTTTCTTTCGGCGGTGTTACTACCCTGAACTTTGCTATTAAGTACCCTGAGCGTCTCCAACAGTTCATTGCTTGCGACTTCAACCCTACATCAAGCGCTGCCAACACACAAGCGTGGAAGGATCGCACAGCTCTTGCTGAGGAGGATAACGGCAAGGGTATCGAGAAGCTCGCCGGACAAACTGTCCAGCGATGGTTCCACCCCTCCACTAACGCCGAGACAGTCAAGTGGATGACAGAAATGGTCGCTGCTAATGACGTTGAGGGCTTTAAATACAGCAACACAGCCCTTTGGGATTATGATCTCAAGCCTAAGATGGGTGGCTGCAAAGTACGCGGCTTGTTTGTGGTTGGAGAGGAAGATGCCAAGGGTGCTCTTGTCAAGGCTATGGATGCGAGCAAGGGACTACTTGGTGACAGTGGTGCAGAGTTGAAGATTGTTCCTCAAACAGGTCATCTTCCTATGGCTGAGAACCCCCAGGCTTTCTGGGAGGCTGTTCGAGAATTCTTGTAATCTTGAATAGGAGATGACAAATTAGAATACACAAGACCTCAATCGGGCTTTGACAAAAAGAAAACTAAGTATTATCACTATGCCTCCTCTTTCTTCTGCTCAACAGGTACCTTTTCATCCAAACCATACTGGGTATCCAGTTCTTTGCGCAGTGAGACGTCCTTCTCAAATAGAGAAAGCAGCCAGGCAAGGCCGCCAAATGCCACAGAGATAACGTAGACTTTACTCAACGACAGCATAAAAACATGTCGAATTTGAGTCTGAACGCTCTCGTCGAATTGCAGAACGAAAGCTCGTGTCGCACTCTGGTAAGAATCTCCCGAACTGAGCATTTCTCGCGCCAATTCGTTATCGATCATATGCGAATACTGCTTCGTGTACGTGTTGAATATCGATCCTGCAATGGCCACGCCCCAAACCGAGCCGAAAGAACGCATAAAAGTCCAGTTTCCTGTAGCAGCAGCTTGATCTTCTTCATCAGTAGCTGCCTGAAAAGCAGGCAAAAGGGTATTCAGAAGAAAGCCAGAGCCGATAGCTGGAATGAACTGCAGCAGAATCCAAGCTGCAGGAGGACTATCTTCATGAAGAAGACCGAGAAGGCCGACACCCAGGGTCATGAGGAAGAAGCCTGATACGTGAAGCATCTTGTACTTTCCCCATCTTGAGAGGACGACTGCAGAGAGTGCAGCGCCTGGGATGGCGATGAGAGCAACGGGTAGCATTTGCACTCCTGATCGTGAAGGTGTTGATAGCTTTACAGCTTGGAAGTATAACGGTAGGAAGAAGTAGCACCATTGAATTAACAACATGTTGAGAAACGTGTTGATATAAACGATGAATGATGTGCGGCCTGGGAACAGTCTGATAGGCATGACAGGTTCTGAAGGAATTCCAGAGGCTTCGTATATGACGAAACCGATAAGACCGAGGAGGCCGATTATCAGGGGAGCTAGGATTCGGGCATTGGACCAAGGATAAACGGGACCTGCCCACGTAAGGGCGATGAGAATCGAAACGCTCGATGCGATGAGAATAGCGTTGCCGATGTAGTCAATACGACGAAGTTTATCCATAGTCGATTGAGTTCGATCGTATTGGAGGTTGAGAAAGAAGTATGTGACGACGATAGCAACACCTCCGATGGGAAGATTGAGGTAGAACACCTAACAAGTCAGTGTAAGTCGGCAGATGCCGTTGGCCTACTTACCCATCTCCAAGTCGTGTTCTCAACAATAACACCACCAAGAAAAGGCCCAACAGCAAATCCAATAGTCGCTACCAGTAGAAGAATAGCAATGTAGTTTCCTCTGTATCGAAGCGGTACGAGATCAGAGATGATCACATCATTCACCATGGTAACTCCGCCACTACCGATACCTTGTATAGCGCGCCCAGCGATGAGCATTGCACCGCCGTTAGCACCACCTGCGATACCGCTTCCGAGGGTGTATGTTGCGAAGATGAACATCATGACTTTCTTGCGACCCCAGAGATTGCAGAGTTGGCCGAACAGAGGTTGGACACAAGCTCTGTATCGTGTTAGCCACTTCATGAAATTGGAGGCGAATCTTACGTTGTGAGGAAGAAGACATTGGTGACCCAGATGTAACTACTTCCAAGATTCAGACTTTCGACGATAGTTGGAAGAGAAGTGATAACAACTGTTGCTTCGAGAGATGCAAGGAGGGTTGCCAAGACTAGGGTAACCATGATCATCCAGAAGCGATAATCTCTATTGAAAGCTGGCTTTGTCTTTACAGCTACTGGTGTCTGAGCTTCTTCATCTTCTTGGGCTGTTTTCGTCTGGTCTGACGAGTTGACGGATGGTGGAGATGAGAGTGTCTGGTTGGATGCTTCCACCTTGTAAGGTGAGGTGGTATCTTTCATCTCTGCAGAAGCCATGGTCATTGCCGCACGATAAGTTTGTCGAGTTTCCTAGTATCGTTATATACTCAGGAAGAGTGCCATTTTATAAGAGAAATCCATTGGGCCTTTAATCTCTGGAGATGACAGTTGCGGAGGCTTTATAAAATGAACTACGACTCGTCTAGGAAACTAATTGCTGACGCTTGCTTCAAATGCTCCGCGGAATGAGAATTATAGATTAGACTAATAAATCATACGGTAGCTTGTCCATTATCCTATTGCTTAAATTGGGCTTACGTTCGGATGCTTTCAACAAGAGTAAGCCTCCGTCCTATGAGACGCGGCGAATGTTTCACCCCGTCTTACCACCAACATAAGGATGTTGTGCATTTTGGCTATTCAGAAAGAGAAACTTTTATTTGGACGCGTATTAGTTGGTACAATAATTATGTAAACTCAGGCGAATGGACGGAATATGTAAGGGAGGGATGGTTGGGCACTAGCTACAGACGAAGAGTAGTTGTAGTTGTATGTGTTGTATGTGATATTTTGGTTGTTAGTATTAACGATCGGAGT